GCTCCTGGGTGATGAAACTCAGAACGTCTCTGAATTATCTGGTGAATTAATTATGAGTTAATTATCTGATGAACGTGACATGCTCTTGCTCTCTGTAAATAAAGCAAAGCCACTTCCTCGTCCGACATTAAACAGAGCCCGACAGAGGAGGGAGGGGCGGGGAGGCTCTTGCGGTGCAGCGCTTCAAGAGCTGACCTGCGTCTGACCTCAAAGTGCACAAGCTTCAAACTTCAGCGTTGGCTGCGATTTTGAAGCTGAAATCGCGTTCGATGTGAACACAGCATTAGTCTAATTCGACACAGTCTGTCTGAAAACTAAAGATCCTAAACACAGCAGCAAATCTACAACTAAAAGAACAAGAACAATAAAGTGACTTCAAAAAGAAAAGTAGCTCATAGCTCATAATAATAGGTCTCACACAGCATTATTCCTTCAAGTACTTTAATTGTTGTTCGAGGTGGTTCGACAGCTTAATAATGGAGCGAAGTTATTGCTTTACATTCAACTTTTTAAACTAGCTGTAGTTTTATTATGTGAGATTGTTCCTCTGATGTTGGATCATTTTGTGAATACAAAATGACTGTTTTCTTACTGTGACCAGATATACAGAACCTTAAATCAGGGCTATTCAACTGGCGGCCCATGGGCCACATCCGGCCCGCGAGTGACCAAAGTTTGGCCCGCCACTTGGTTCATTCATCTTTTAAACCCAAACCCCCGGTTTCTACTTTAATTACTCTAAGTTCTGTTAGTTAGACATAGACATGTTTGATGTCTACAGAAACATCACAATCTTGGCTACAAGTTAGTAAAAAAAACATTTCATTGAACACCCAAGGCAGTTAAAAAATACAAATAGTTAAAGATAAAACTATGAAAATGAAAATAAAATTGGTTTAAAAATTTGGCAAGTCAGAGATGTCAAAATATTATTTGTGGTAAATAGGAGATATAATGTGTTCCTTTTGTTTTTTGTTGTTTTATTATCACTACTTTTATTACACAGGGTTCTGTATGTTGTATTCATGATTAAATGCAGCAAAATAAACTATTTCAAAGGTAACAGATTAGTGCTGGGCGGTATGACCTAAATTTTAAATCACAGTATTTTCAACAATTACACCAGTTTCACGGTATTTGACGGTATTTTTTCCTCACAGCTCAGCTAATAATAAAATGTACAAACTTTGCTTATTGAGTTTTTTCTTTTACTGTACCGCTGTATCACTGTTTCCCTCCTTTTGTCTTTTCTTCTTTGCCTGGTTGTAGACAGTAATCATGAATTTAGGTCCGATCATGAAGGTTTGAAAAAAATCATTCTCTGGTCTATCGTTATGTGTTAATAAAACTTTAAAGGACGACTCACCTTGCACACCAGTCAACTCAGCTACACTACAAAACTACTTCCCCCCGGGCTTTTCACAATAGAAGCACGCTAGAGTCTCCATGCATTAACGTCTCCATTATAACGTATAACGTTAAATCTAACTGTGCACGACACTGAAGAGTTGTTTACTACATTCAGCAATGGTGAAAACGGGATGTTCGATGTTCGACGTACGTCAGACCATATAAGCGGCTGAAACACACCACCCGCCACCAGCTGTTCCAATAAAAACGTTAGCATGCTAATGCGCTTAGCGGTGCTGCAACGAAACGTGTCCCTAGAGAAACAGTTCCCTGGTGGCCGCGACAAAACGTTCCACATGTGTTCAGGCTATTTACACTGGTATTCAGAAAAGTCATATAACTAAAATAAAAACTGGTTTTCGGTACAAAACGGTGTACCGCCCAGCACTATAACAGATCTTTGTAATATTTGGTTTATTTACATAATGACTTTAATTGCTGGATGTTCAGCCCCTCAGCTGTTGGCCTGCAGTAACTGTGGCCCTTTAGCAGTTTAGTTGAATAGCTCTGCCTTAAATGCACTTTATTTGACCACAAATGTAATATTTTGTGATACTGTTGGATATTTTAATTCAGCTATCTTCCTCTTTGACCAGAACGACTCATAAAAATCTATTGACAAATAAACGTGTCGACCATTTTTCCTCTACTGAACGATCACAGTATTTACTTCCTGTCAGAACGAGCCCAACACATAGCACGTGTTAAAATGTAGGGTCAAAAATCAATTGAACTGAACTGTTTATGTAACAGGTGCATTACTGAAGAGACATATATATTGATAAAACAATATGAAAGAAGTAATCCTATAAGAGTTGGGCCTGAAAGGGAATAATAAAATCAAAGCTGTTTTTTTTTTTAAATGATGCCTTTGTGCGTTTGTTGGGCAAAAGGTCAACTGATTGAACTGGCTCCAAATGAAATTGATTAGTGGTCAGTCGATGCAGCAGCAGCTCTTAATGCAGGGACATGCTGACCCGTAAAGATGGAATAATGACAAACCCTGATGTCTGAGTGAAAATATTTGTTGCCTTTTTGTCTTCTGGGGTTAATAATACGTATTCAATAAGAATCATTTCAAGCCTCACAAAAAGAAACAAGCTGAAGTGTGTGACCTGCAGAAGTTTAGCTGGTGCAGCAGCAGCTTTAACGCACTTTGTGCTGCAAATGTTTGAGGAATTGGTTGCATGAGCTGCTGGGAGGAAAGACTTGGAGCGTCTGCTTTAACTCGGAGAAGTGCGTTAACCAGGTCCTTGTTCTGCCGCCGTTCAGCTACAGGAACCTGGCTACAGAGCACGAGACCCTCATGCAGAAGTATCTTCATCTTCTCCAAATAGTGGAGACGGAGAAAACGGTTGCCAAGCAGCTTCGACAACAGATCGAGGATGGGGAAATCGAGATAGAGCGGCTAAAATTGGAGGTAACTCGTAATTTCATCCATATTTGTGTGCATGTGTGGTTTGCTTGATTTAAAAATAAGAAAAGGAGAAGGAAACAACAGAGGCAAATAGAAAAAAGAGAATTTAGTGAAAAAGGTTTCGATCCTGTATTATATAAAGAAATTATGTGTTCACGTTGCATTTTTGAACGTGCAGAACCCTCAGGAGACTCAGTGACACCCCTGAATGTGTTGTACCCTCATTATCCAGCCTAAACCAGATCAAATGCGTCTCTCTTTAATGTGCTAATGGATGCTTCAATTGAATCCAGCATTTTCAATATGCATGAATCAGCTTTTGTTGTTCATGAGACGACAGTGTGCACTCCAAAATAATCAGCTCCTTTCTCCCTTTTCATAACCAAAAGTGTTTGCTAGTAATAGACTTTGTTTATCATCAGTTCTTTATTAAAAGTTTTTTATTTGCACACTCCTGAGCGCGATGGGTGAACGTGTAACAAACCGTAATAAAACACAATAAAAGTGGTTTAGTTTCTGTATTTGTCGGTTCTTTGAAGCAGCTAATGGACCAAAGCAGAGCTGATCAAAAGGCAGTAGTTTACATAACTGAATAAAACATTAATATCAAAAAGAAAAGAAAAAAACATGCAGCAACAGAAAACATGACATCAGATTACAAATTGGATTTTGTGTAACACATTCATAAAGACAAAACTTACATGTTCACAATTAAATTCATATCTAAAATGACCTGAAATCAGTTAATTTTACACGTTGATTAAAGCTTCGAATCTAATATAACAAAGAAGACCAGAATAATGTTTGAACCAGAAAACATATACACTGCTCAAAAAAATAAAGGGAACACTTAAACAACGCACGCTAACTCCCAGTCTTAATCAATGAAATATTCGCATTGAGTACTTTGTTCTGTACAGAGTTGAATGTGCTTCACAAAAGTTTGATTTACTTGGACTTAGCATGCGTTAAGTGTTCCCTTTATTTTTTTGAGCAGTGTATATAAATCTGATCGCAGCTGCCCATTTCTGAGACAATTCTGGTCTTCTTTGATGTGCTACATAAGCAGCTTCCCATTGGAAAAACATGCCCTTGATCCAATGTGATGGCTTCCACGATGGCAGCCATATTCCAGACGCAGCTTAAAAGATGATTCCTCTCACCCATTATTTGCTGGAGTGTTCAAATATTTTCTTTTCGTTTTCATTTCTAAAATAAAAGCGTGTCCTGAGACTTTTGACTCACCCTGTATGAGTCCAAATAACCAACGAAAATCATGGAGGATGTCTTTTAAAGCAGGGGTTCTTAACCTTTTTGACCTCGGGGCCCAATTTGTTGAACATGAAGTGTCACGAGGCCCAGTCAGACATTACCGATGTACTGCAAAATGATAATTATTCTAAATATTGGTTTAATTTATATTGTATTTGCATTATAACTAAATAAAAATACTTAGAGTTTAAAGGTAAAAATCCTGTCAAATAATCACAAGACATGATTATGACAAACTTTTTCTTTCTATTGTAACCTGCCCATAACAGTTATTTGAACAAATACAATGGCCAACACAAAAATAACTTTTTTTTAACATAAACAATAACAAAAACAGACAATTCAATAAATATAATTGTGGCCTTGAAAAACATTCAAAATGTTCAATTTTGTTGAACATTTTTCAATGTTTCAAATAAAAAAACTGGAAAACTAAATTTGATAAAGTGCAAATGAAAATATAGCCTTTTTAAACTTTTGCATGGTAGAACCAGAAGCTGCACTTCATATTAGTGACAAACTTTGGCGTTTTTTGATGGGTCGCCTTCATTTTTGCCTTTTACTTTTAATTTAAAATAGGTTTCCATTCTCTGTGGGTATCTAAGGTTCTTCTTCTATGTATGATAAAAGTTGTTAAACACCTGAGTGGCGCACTATCGCTACTAGTGGTGAAAAAGTGTATTGCACCTTATTTCAAAATCAATGCGGTCCCGTCCCGCTGCCTTCTGCGGCCCAAAGTTTAAAACTCTTGTTCTTTTGAGGCCCTCAAGGTGACGCTCATGGGTTAAGAATCTCTGTTTTGTAGGGATATGCTGTTTGTCGATGTTATGGACAATGATAGATCATAAATACCTCGTAATTATTAGCATAACAATGGGGCACCACCTGAATTTTCAGGAAATTAATTTATAGATTTTAAATCAGTCTTCATTACTGAGTTGTGAATTCTATCATTTTCAAGAACGAAGCCCAATAAATCACGCACAGACAAACGAAATTTCAAAATATAACCTATATTAAATGATTCAGAGGTCACAATACAACAGATTATTTG